TGCTGTATTTTTCTGTTTTAGTGCTTAGGTGCGAGATCGACGCAAAACTTAAGGGCGCGGTTGTGATTAAGTAGACAAGGGGCGTATGCGTGCGTTAATGTGTGTCAGATGGCCTCTAATATGCTGTTTTTGTGATGTTCGATATTATTTTGATACGCTGATGTGTTAGGTAGCTCTCGGTTGTGGTAATCTATATACTTGGAGTGTTGTTGAATATTTGTCGGTGATAATGGTGTAAATTCTGCTTTGCTAAACTGCTGAGAATTGCTGTGGAGATGTTGTTGTCTGAATATGAATGAATTGTTCGGCGTGTTTCGTGTGTTTATTACATCTAGCAATGCTTATTGAATATTGATGTTGGATATTAAGTGATTTGGGTGAACTGTGTTGGGCTCTAATTGTTTAAAATTTGTTTGGTTATGCTTTGTTGTGACAAAACTCATAGTGGAGCTGTTGTTAAGAAATGTTATATTGTGAAAGCATGATTGGTTTATCATGTCATCATTAGAATGTTGTTTATGTTGTGGAAGCATGCTGAATTGTGTTGGTGAGCTGAAAGCTGCATGGGTCATGGCTTAAGAAAGTATATATTATGACTCTGGCGAGAGTTGGATTCTTGGAGAAAGTGAATGGGTGAGTGTCAGGGCCTCGGGTATAAATGGTCGGGGGCTGATATGTCACTAATTGAGTATCGAGGCCTCGGGTAAAAATGGTCGAGGGTCGATGCGAGGAGTCCTTTGGAAGGAAAGCTATTGGGGCCTTGGGTAAAAATGGTCAAAGGCCGATAGATGGTGAAGTCATTGGGGCCTTGGGTAAAAATGGTCGAGGGCCGATGCGGTAGTGTCGGGGCTCTAGGAAAAAATGGTCAGGGGCCGACTCTACTCAAAGAGTTAACTGTGGAGGGCTAGGATAGCTGTGATAAGCGTAGAGGTACTTGAGATGTTAGGGAGACTCGAGGTTGGTAGTTAATTTGTTCATGGTTGTGGTTGTTGTCGAATGTTATGGAGTGTGCCTATGTTTGACTGCATAATGTGATGGAGAGCATGACTATGAATGTTTTCATGATTTTGTGGAGCATGATGTGTGCGTGTGTTGGTGAGGGCTACTTACGGAGTATATTTATATACTCACCCCCACCCCTCTCTGCAATTATTGTTTCAGGTGAAAGATTTGTTGGCGACCATGGTTATGAGACGGAGGAGACATGACGAGCGAGGACCATAGGCTGCGTAGTTACTTTTGCTTAGCTTAAGTTTTTGGATGGTTATGACCCTATGTTTTGGTCGATAAACTATTTATTTTTATTTGAATAATTGAGAGGTTCCCACTTGTTGTTTATTTTATTTCGGGATAGGTGTTTATTCTAGTTTTCTTCCATTCATTGAGTTATGCCTAGTTGGAATAATAAATTTGCGTCGTGAGGTTGTCCACGGTTATTATTGATTAATATTCTATAGAATTGATTCATTGTCAAAATGATGAGAGGTGAAGCTTGATTTTATAAATAATTGTTGCACAGGGAGTTGACATCTCGTGTTTGGGGTTAAGTTTCAATAGTTGGGTAGTTAACGTGACCTAGACGTGTGTGGGAAGTTCTGGGGCGTTACAAAACATAAACAGTGATCTGGGAAGCTCAATGAATGGTAGGTTCATAAGAAAATATTATCGTAAAACTTCTTTCATAAACAACTGAAAATTCACTTATTAAAATAAACTTCATAAAACTGAAAGAACAAACATTCTCATTTAGATTTCATAAAACTCGAGTAAAACTGAAGCAACAATATAAATTTCATAAAACTTAGTAAACCTTCTTAAGATCAATCTTGTAACAACCTACTTAAGATCAATATAAATTTCTTTCTAGGCAAAGTGAAAAGACAATGCTCCCAAGTCAGATTCAGAATCCGGATTTAGCTCTAATTGTCCCGGCATTCCCTGGCATCCTCTGTGACCTAGTTACGCCAACTTCTCAACCTGCTTTAAAACACATTCTAAAACATATAAAACATTCTTCTTTCAAACATAAAACAGATTGATAAAACTGAACACCACACATGTATGCATATTCTATTCTGGTCTACTGGCGTAGAGTAATCTCAATACACACAGCAGAATAATTCTGGTCTACTAGCATAGAGTAATCCAAATACGCATAGCAGAATAATTCTCTCAACACGTGTAGTCAAATGGTCCCAAAGACCTTCTATTTCTAGGTATACTATAGAAACACATTCTTATAGCATACGGGTAATCACCTGGATACAATAACATGATGGTTTGAAAACTCTTCTCAATCTCATAAACTGTTCTAAAATTCTTTTCTTATTATTTCTAAGAACTTTTCTAACTTTCTCAAATCATTTCTAAAATCTTTCTTTCTAAACATTTCATAAAAATCTAAAATCATTTATGAAATCTTTTTTAAATAACATTTCATAACTTTCTCGAACATTTCTCTAAATCATAAAACATTTATCAATTCTAATAAACATTTCTAGATTAATTCTTTCTTACACATTTTATTTAATTCTCAGCAAAAATGCTAAAACATATCTAATATATACTTCCTTTAAATTCTATCATAATATATTTCTAAAAACATTTCTAAAATAAACCACTCATAAATTCCAATAATACATGTTTGGGGAAGGAAATACCCTGGACACGTGGAGGACCCCTATTGGTGCTCCAAGATGGCTCATGAGTCATGCCCAGCTCGGATAGCCGAGATGGCTGCCACCAACGCCGACGAAAGCTAAGTATGAGGGCCGAGGTGAACCTGGCCCAGGTCCGACCTACCGGGGAGCTCGGTAGGGGCCGATGTGAGCAACTGTCTGCGGCGTGATTATCGGGCGTAACCGTCGGTCCCGAGATCACCGGGTGTAACCGACGGTCCCGAGATTACCGAATGTAACCGTCGCGAGATTAGCGGGACCACCACCCATAAGTAGAGGNACCGAGTGTAACCGTCGCGAGATTAGCGGGACCAYCACCCATAAGTAGAGGACCTCACTCCCCGATCAGGTACGATGAATTCTGGCTTCGAACTAAACTTGGAATCCGACCTATACTGACTTGATCGTCGGAGTGCTCACCTTTTTGTGCAGGTCCGCCCAAGTGTTCAGGTCGGTCCGGAGGCCGAGTTCGAGCTACAATCAGGAACACACTGTTGTGCACATCTTTGCATAAACAATACATATCCAAAACGTTTAATAAAATAATTACTCACAAATCATTTAAACCAAATCGTACGTTGTTCCAAATTCCGCTTAACCTAAAATATCAACCCAATACCAAATTATTTTGCTTAATTCCAACATAAACTAATTCCAATTTAATCCCAATAACTTCAAAATAAATCAATTATCCAAATTTCTCATTCTCTGTCTTCATTTAAAACCATTACTTCTTCTCTTTCATACTACCTTACGAGTGGGTCCCACGAAACCCATTCAATTTCATTTCTCTTATTTTCATCTTCTCACGTGAAACACTTATTTTTACCCAATTTCTTTTCTTTTTCTTGTTTAATTCTAATCCACATTAATTCATTTCTCTCTCTTCAACAACTCATCATCTTCTTCTTCTTTCTTCTCCATTAAACCCACGAAATTTCTCCATTTCTTCCTTCCTCCTCTCTGTTCTTTTTTTTTCTTTTCTCAACAAGTTGCCCTTTTTATTTTAGATTTCTATTTACAAATTAAATTCCCTTCTACAACTTATAGGCTTAACATTTCTTTTTCACCTTTATTTCCTGCAACAACTCAACAAGTTCTCCATCAAATTTCCATTGGAAACCCAAGTAAGAAACTCACATATTCTTCAGTTAATTGATCATCCTATGCCATCTTTCATCTCGACCAAAAATAACAAACGTTCTCAATTCTTACTACTCAAGAAAAATCCATAAATCTCAAAAGGACTCTTTATTTCTCAAAACCCAGAGTTTTACATTAACAAAAATCCTAGAACTTAAGGATTCTTAAACTTAAATCTCTATAAACTTACCCAAATTCACCTTCTCAGCCATTTGATTCAAGCTTCTTAACCCGATTTGCCCAACTCCCTATCTTTCACTAGTTTTCGAACTCAACCAAGGAGAAGCATAGAGTTTTCTTTATTCCTCTTTTCGTTCCTTTCCTTTCATTTTATATCCTTTTCTTTTCTTTCGTTTTTTTTTTCCTAAATCACAACCATATGTCACACACACCACCCACACCTACACACACGTGCCCTTCACAAAACAATTCCCAATTTTCTTCTCTTTTTTTTTCAAATCCAAAAAGACAATAATGCCCCTTAAAACCTTAAACTTCAATAATTCCAAATTTCTCTTTCTCTTTTTGTCTTTTTTTTTTTTTACTGAAAGACTAAACAATCCTTACATTTACTCCCTTAAAACAAAATTTTGGAAGGGAGAACAATACCTATTTTTTATGGCAAAGAATGTTAGCATGATTTACAGACAACCAATCCATATTCAGAATAGCGTCAAAATCAGTATTGTCAAATCAGCAATCAAGTTTCGATTAGAAATACTCAGTTGACATGATTTAACTACCTTATCAGTATGTAGCACATTACCAGATTGAGTGGATACTTTAAGTATATAGCTCAAGTCTACACCTGCCAACTTAAACTTTCTAACAAATGTAGCCGATATGAAAGAATTTGTAGAACCAGAATCAATCAATACAAAAGCAGTAATTCCAATTATGAGGATGGTACCTGAAACAACGTTAAACTCATCATTAGCCTCTTGCTTAGTGATCGTAAAGACTTTGCCCTTTTTACTTGATTTCTTCTCTTGTGCTTTTGAGTCATCTACTTTTTGGCTCAGTGGACAATTGTTGATGAAATGTCCTGTTTTTGCACAATGAAAGCAGGCTCCTGTCGCTTTGTAGCATGTCCCAGTATGTTTCTTGCCACATGTCTTACACTCGGACTGCTGTCCATTACTACTATAAACCTACCCTCTTATGAGGTTGACTCAAACTCTATCCTCCATGAAACTTTCTTTTTGAACCACCATCTTTGCAAAGTGACTTCGTGTTGTCCAAATCCTGTGACAAGATTTGAGTAGCTTGCAACACCTCAGCATAGGTCATCAATCTGAAGGCAACAACATGCTTCTTTAACTCTGGTCTCAAACCTCTTTCAAATTGTCTTGCTTTTCTCCAATTAGTGTTCACCAAATGAGGGGCACAATGAGAAAGCTCCTCAAACTTCTTTTCATACTCTATCGGGGGCAGTCTTCCTTGCTCTAACTTGATAAACTCTGCCTCCTTGTTCTGCCTAGCAGTCGGGGGAAAGAACTTCTCAAAGAAAAGTTCCTTGAACCTATCCTAACCCATAGGATTTTCAACGACATTCCATGTTCTGTGAGTCATATTCCACCATTTATTTGCTCCTCTTTTCAACATGTATGTAGCATAAGCCACTTCCTGACGATCATTGCATTCGATAAAGTCAAAATTATTCTCGATTTCCTCGATCCATTCTTCAGCAACGATTGAATCTGTGCTTCTACCATCAAAAGAGGGTGGATGAAGCTTTCTGAACTGTTGTGCCATAAGATTGACTACATCATTGGCCGTAGCATTCCTATTAGTTCTTGGGTTTTGTGGGAACAGCTGGGATATTATCTTACAGTTCCTCATGAACTACAGTTCTTCATGGCGGCATTGTTCTACAAAGCATGTCTCAACCAATCCTTAGCAGTATTAAAAAGAACAAAGTAAAATAAAATAACTATATCATAACGATATATTGAGTAACCATCACATAGAAAACAAACACTATCGAAACTCAAAATTCCAAAACTATCAAACCTAATGTTCTGGCATGAACTTCAGCATTAACAAAACACTTAAGAATCCTAGAGTCTACAGAACCTTAAACCATCGCTCTGATACCAACTGTAATAACCCGTATTTTCTAATACGGTCATTCTGAAAAAATGCAGAAGCGTAAACAAATAAACAATTTATTAAAGGGAAAAACTTCTTTATTTAATTTGATACTATGACAAAATAAGGACAAGCCCAACTTTGACAAGCACCTATACTATAATAAAGCCAAAGAATAACTAGCAGACTAACCAAGTTCTCATAAGCTAAAAAAAAATAATGGAAAATACTATAGATTCCAACTCCTCATGCCAGAACACTATTCCTCAATCATTATTAGAGCAGTCACTCGAACCTTCATCTGAAAACATTTAGAAAACAGAAAAAATGAGTACAAACATACTAATTAAGCAATTTCCATATCAAATATTGAAATTGATTTTTCGTTTCGAAACATTTGTAACAAAAATACCAACCGATCAACACTTTCAAAATTCCTTCTAAAACATTTGGTATAACTTTCAAACTTTTGAATAAACTAAATCATTCAAACACTCAAAACAATGTTACATTCACTCATACTTTCAAAATCATAGTTGTAGGTTGCATTATTTGGGTAGCCTACAGAACATATGTGGTTACCTGTCGGTAACACCAATCAATCAGAAGCTTCCATCAGAGTTGTCGAATTAATATCGACTAGGACAGAGTTATCGAAATAATATCGACCAAAACAAACAGAGTGGTTACTTAAGTGTGAGGTCATGTGAGTGAATAACACACACATGAATCTTCATTCCCAGGGAATGTCAAACCACAAAAGTGTCTTCCCACGAATAAGCCAAAACAGAAATCCATCAATTACAAATTAGGGTACTACCCCAAATAAGCAAAATCCTCAAAACAAAAATATGGCATATCCGGATAGCCCCATCAAATCAATCAAGATGTCTTTCAAATAAAATGCAAAACAAATACTTACATTCAATATTAAATTAATTCAAAACACTGAACTAATTTCAAACAAACTTTATCAATCATCCAGAACATAATTTCAAATATTTCACAAATAAATAAAATATCAATTTCAAACCTCTAAATAAATCTAAACAAAACTTTATCAAATCATATAAGAATACTTCAAATACTTTGGAAATAAACATAATATCAATTGCCAAATTATTTTTCAAAGCCATAATAAAACTTCAATTTCATATGCAAGATATCAATTTGAAATCTTCATATCAAATCCAAAAGACATTTTAATTTGTGTAGGGATATGGCAAATTACTTACAAAACTTTTTGAAAGGATATGGTAAATCACTTACAATACTTTTCGAAGGGATATGGTAATCACATACAATACTTTTCGAAGGGATATGGTAAATCACTTATCTCTTTCAGAATCCTACAAATCTAATTAATTTCTCCCTTCGGTAGTTGTCAACTTAGAGGTCTAGAAACAGCCAATATCGAAAATCAATCCTTAAATCCTACCTAAGGATTTAAAATTCAACCAATTACTAAGCAAATCTTATCTACCCAATTTTCCCATTCAAAACATTTTTTTATGCAAAACAATTAGAAAAATATGGATTTAGGGCTACAAAACCATATATGAAAAACTGGGTTAAAAAGCCCCTAAATTCAAAAATAACAACTTTAAAATTACAAGAATTGGTATAAATCAAAATGAATCAAATTTACGAAAAATTTCTCAACGAAACAAGCTTATAAACCTTCTAAACAATTGAAAACTTGGGGATTTTAAATCTGGAAAAGTTTCTGTTTTATAAAATAAAACTTCCAACAATTTTTCACAAAACAATTACCAATTTACTGATTTTTTACAGAAAAATCAGATCTGAAAACTGTATAGAAAACCTTTAAAACATGGTAAAAACATAAAATTTTTCAGGTAAGAATCAAAACAATAAGCTATAATTTATGGGATACAAAGAGGTAAAATTTTTATGAAAAAAGAGTCCAAAAACAGTCTCATAAACAACAAAATTCAAACTAAAAATTTTGGAAAATTTTTAGGATAAAAAGTCCTTAAAATCTTTTATTATAAAAACAAAGACCTCAAAACTTTTCCCAATAACCTGAATTAAAGAACTACAGATCAAGAAAAGTAAAACTAAAACAATCAGGAAGAAAAAGCTTACCGATACTTGAGAGAAAATACCAAAACTCTTCTTCTTTTCTTTTCTTTTTCTCTTGGAGAGAAAACTAGGTCTATCAGTTTAAGAAAATAAAACATAGGGTTTAAGGGCTTTTATAACAAACCCTAATGAATCATTTTTAAAAAAGACTAACATAAAAAGATAAAGATTTAATAAAACTCTTTCTTTTTATTTTCAAAATATTAATAACAAATTATCTCTTGAAAATAATTTTTAAAACAAAAAGGTTTATCTTTGAGAAAATAAAAGAAAACAACTAAAAAAATTAATATATATATATATATATATATATATATATTTTTCGGTTGTTACAGAACATGACAGTAATTTTATGTTTTAATGACAGTAATTTTTTTTTTCCAAAAATTTTTCTTTTTCTAAAGATGTATTGCTAGTTTCCAAATTAACAATTTCACTTTTCAAACTAGCAATTTTATCCTTTAATTCCAATGAAAAAGATTCAAATTTCTCATTCTTATTTCTCAAATCATTCAATTTAATTTTTAATTCACATGATAGGGATTTAAGATCCTCATTCTCTATTTCAAGAAATTTTGTCCTATTGTTCAAAGTATTTCTCTCATTACAATCAAAGACATGCTTTTCACAAGAGACATTTATTTCATTATTTTGCACAATAGCATGCTCATTTTCTTTAAATAAAGCAATCTCATCACACAATTACTTAATTTCACTAGTTTAGACATGATATTTCTTTCCACGCACAACATATTTGGCACCAAGTTTTTCTAAGTCATTTTGCATGTTTTCAACTACTAAACAATTCATCATAAGAAGGAAGTTTATGAATTACCTCATCGTCATCGCTTTCAAGATCGCAAACGTTGTTCGAATGGGCCATTAAACACAACCCGGTTTCATCATGCTTTGCTTTTTCGATCTCACATGATTTTTCTTGATTTTGAGAATTATAATTATCCTTTACATCAAATAGATCGTTAGTAGTACAAGAATAATTTTCAAAATTATATATATTGTCAAGAAAATTCCAAATATCATATGTATAGGTAAAATGTGAAATTTTATCACATATTTTTCTATCTAAAGCACACACATATCATATTTATGGCTTGTACATTAAAGAAAGGATTTCATCACTCAATTTTGATTTTGATAAATCATTTTCACAAACAAAAAAAATACCAAAATTAATAGCAAATAGATCATTAGTTGTACATGGAGAATTTTCAACATTATATATGTTATAGGTAGTTTCCGAATAGGACACGTGTTCGTCCCTCTGTGGGCGTGGGCCCACTGAGAATCGATTCTCAATGAGTATATCGTCGAGCAGAAGGCGTGTATGCTCAGGACAGGACGAACACTACAAACGGTTACGCTCCGTACACACCCACAACACGACGGGCACAACCAACGGCCCTAGACGACATGCCCAGGCGACGCAGGCAACGAGACTACTCTGCATTGTTGGGAACGCACCCCTCTCTGCACCGACATATCGCACGCAGCGCCCTTGCCATTTCCAACTGTCATCC